TCTGGGGAGGGTGGGCAGGGATTTGCCCTGCCGATTGGATCAGAGGTGACAGGTGTCCTAGATGGGGGAGTCTAATTCTCTTCACTACATTTTTTGGGAACACTAGCTTTGGACTTGATCTTTGAGTTCTTTCTGTATGTTCCCATCTAATGGTGTTGTCCTGGGCTCTGCCACTACAGGAGGAGAGCAGAGAAATCCCTTGGGTGTTGGAGATAGAGGACTCATGTGGACCTTAATACAAGTTCTTCTCCTTGCAGAAAAGCCCATGTGACCCCCAATTTGTCTTCTCGTGTGCCCTGTCCCAACCATGTGGGACCTGCTAATGGCCTCAGTCATCTCCTCAACTTGGCTGCTGTGTGCAGAGAGACCCTCTGCTCCTGGGGCAGCATAATCCTAGGTGTGAACAAATTGAGATGTTCTCCTTTGCTCTGATACTGAGCAGGAGAAAAGTCATGAAAGGGAAAGGTCCTGGGGTGGTGAAGGCAAGTGGGGGAACCACAGTCTGTCCCAGATGAGTGGAAAGCCCGTGTGTTGGAGCTGTGACACTGAGGGCTCCCTGTGGCCTTGGGTGTCACAGCCCAGCGGGAATTTTTATTTTTTTTTTTGTGATGGTGGGTTTTTCCAATTCTTTGAAAACTTTGGGTATTTTGCAAACCTTGTGCCTCAAAGCAGGACAACAAGTGAAAATCTAAAAACAATGATCAGCAAATTCCTGCCTTCCACCAAGGGATAAGTGTTTGCCTATTTGCTGTTAGTTAACAGGAAATTCTAATTTATCTGTCCACCTTTTTAACTGTGACAAGCAGAGATAAATGAAGACTTCTGACTAAGCAATCTCAGATGGCAATTCTCCAAAGAGCCTGCATCTGTGCAAGGTGCTGGGACAATTTCACAAATATTCTAAGATACTTTCCAAGCTGAGCTTTGGTGTGCTGTGACTTTTCTCACTCAATTTAATAATGTTTTTTTTTTTTTTGTCTTGTTAGAAAATGATTAGGTGCCTTGTGGGCAATCCAACCTTCTGAGAGGGTAGGTTCAACTTTGCCCCATACCCGTGATGCTGCTAATTGTTGCCCATTTGTCAAAAATAAGGCAAAACCTCGAGGCAAACTGGTTGCCCTCAGAAGATGGGTTTCTTAAAACCAGAGGGCTTAAATGTCACCACTGTGACCGGAAGTGCTGTGACATTCCTGGCGTGATGTAACGTTGAGGAGAGCAAGCCTTGCTCTCTGCCTGCCTGGTCCGGGAGCTGTTTGTGAGCCAGCTGCCCCCCTGCGCTTGGATCATTGCAGTTGTGGTTCCCAGTTCCCCTCTCGATCTCTGTCAGTTCCTCTTGCCACCCCTGTCAGGGTGGTCTGCAGATGCACTCCGCTGTGACAGGAGTCTGTCCTGTGTGGGAGAGACAGAGGCAGGTGTTTCTTGGGATGTGCAGTGGTAGATGTTTATCTTGGTTATCTTTATCAGCTACATGTATGGACCAAATCAATATGAGGCGATGGGAACTCTATCCAGGTGAGATCTAGCTATCTTCTTGCAAGAAGTCCAGTTCTTTCTGACTGTGCTGATACTGCAGGTGGCAGAAGAATGGCACAAAGGGTAAGGAACATGCCTGGAGAGCTGGAGATTTGCCTTCTGCTCCCAGCTGTGACACAGGTCACTGTGGGACAGCAGAAAATTCGCTTCACTTTTCCAAACATTGACTTCTCTGCCTCTTCAGTGGTGACTGTATGGTTTGCTTTGGAAGCTGCTTTTAGGGGGAAGGTTACTGGAGAAGGGAAACCAATCTCATCTTGGAGAACATCCAGGGCTTGAAGTGACACAGCTTGATTTTGTAGGGCTGGGATCCGATGCATGAGAGAAATGTTGGATAAAGCCCTTCTGCTTGCTTTGCTCAGCTCTTGCTGAGATGGTGCAGAGCAGGAGTAGCAGTTGATCTGTCCATGCTTTTCCATACCCAATATGCTTTCTGAAGAGAGGTAATTAATGGCTTGTCCAAGGGTGATACTCAAGTTGCTGCCTGAGGGTGTTCCTCACAGCTACTGTGTTGTTCTCTCTGTTTCTGCCTTCTAGGAGCAATATCTCTAGGTGCTTTACACAGAGGCTGAACAGATGTGTGGGTGCCCTGTGTGTTTCTTGCAGAGTTGCTGTCAGGAGGTTTGTGACAAACCCACGTTGAAGGTTTCTCATTATCTTTCCTGCTGTTTTGTCTCCGCTGGTCCATCCAAACCCTTTTCTCTTCCCTGGGTGGTGGTTGTGCTCTCCTGAAAGCTTTATTGACACCTGGGAAGAAGTAATGGAAACCCGTATCTTCTGCAACATGTGGCTCTGCTTGGAAATGTGTAGAGCAGCAGCCAGCCTTGGTGACAAGTGTGTCCCCGAAAGGTGCCGGGGCCTGACTGCTCTCAGCATTTGCCCCAGATGTGTTGTGAAATGTGACCACAGGCAGTTCACTGCACAGGGACTGTGCTGGCCCTTCCACCTGCTCCAAATACCTTGCACCTTGAAGTTCTGCTGAAGCACCTCTTGGTTTAGCAGCTCTGCTACTGGGAGTCCAGCTGGATGAAAGGACAGATTTATTTATTTAGTTGCTCAGCACCCTCATAAACCATTGCAAAGCATTGATTAAAAACCCCTGCGACATCAGCACTTGCTTTTCTTAGTACTCTTGAGATGCTTAACAGAGCTCCTTGGAAAGTTTGATTGTGTCCTCCAGAACTGTCCCCTGCCTTGTCATTTTGCTCAGTGTGGGTGGGAAGGAAGGGAGAGTTTGGGGTATAAACAGTAGAAGAGGCTGAAAAGTTTCTGATCAGTTGTGGTGGACAAACTGAGTCCTCTCCCATGAAAGATGCTTCCGTAAGCACTGTCTTGAGAGGAGGGGTTTAGATTCATGTGTGGTCCACAGTACACAAGGGAAAAAAAACTCTGAAGATTGTGTTTTGTGGTTTGAAAGTTATGGGAATATCTTTGTCATATTTTGTCTTTAAATTCCCAGCCTGTTCTATGCTGGATTACGAGAGGCATCAGGAAGGGATGGCTGGACTGGCGCGGGGCTCGCCCAGAGCGTGCGGTGAGGAGCCTATTCACCTCTGAGGACTGAGCTGTGCTCTACAACAAGCTGACGTGCAGGGAAGTGTATTTTTGTGAGCTGGGTGTTGTGAAGGGTGCTTTATGAGTCATGCTGTGCTCTTAGTCACCGCTTTCCTCCTGCCACAAGTCATGACTAAGGTGCTGATGTGCAGATTCCCCGCTCATTCAGTCCTCGGCACCGTGGAGGAGCGTTTCTCGGGTGTTCCTTGAGCACACTGTGGATAGATAAAACTTTTGGTGGAGACCCCCTCTTTGGGGTAAAGGAGAGAGCTTGCATTTGGCAGGTCAGTGGTTCCTCGTTGTATGTTTTCACCTGTTTGGAGCCACTGGTGGCCTCTCTCCAGCGTGGGAAGGACCAAGCATCAGGGCAGGAGCTGGCTTCACTCCCTTGGCTTTTAGGGAGCCCCAGCAGCTGGGTACAGCTGAGCTCTTTTTGGGGAGTTGATGGGGAATTAAGTGTGGGTGGAGGTGGCCATGCTGAGTGCACCAAGCAACAGGGACCAGCTGGAACCTCTGCTGAGATCACAGCAGCTTGTGCTCCTGCCACAGTAGGGGTGAGGAGCTGTGATGGGCACAGCCACCATTGAATACCGAGCATCAGACCTTGACCAACTAAGCAAAAAACTGAGTGTTTTGGGGTAGCACCGGGAGCTGCGTGAGTGTGTGGCATAGGTACAGAAATGTGCTGTCTGGGATGAAAGCAAAGGCCTCCTTGGCAGGTGTTTTTTGTAGTATTAGCAGGTTTTATTTCTTCTTCCTGGATTATTTTTGTGCCTTGGTGTTGGCTCTAACCAAGAGGCAAAGAGTCTGTGGGATGAACCCTTCTCTGTGTGCTGGGAGAGGGGAGGTGCCTGCCCCAAGGTCTCTCTGGGCACCAGGGCTGGCACTGCACAAGAGGAGGAAATCTCTGCCCGGGCACCTCTCTGCTCATAGTTGGCACAGATCCGAGAAGTCAACCTTTTGGGCAAGCTGCTTTTATTTTTGTGGTGTCCCAGACAGATGCATATGAATGGAGTGGGATAAAATCTTCCTCTCTGCCAGGCCAAGGTTTAGGTTTGCACCCTGAGCTGTGGGGGAGAGGTGAGATGCACAGAGCTGCATTGGGGGAAGGTTGCAGCTGGACACGCAATCTGCAGTTTCACAATGTCCTCAGATGTTGGGCTGAGGTCCCCTCTGTATTTTCCTGCATTGCCACAAGGGCATGTGGACTTTTTCTTCACGTTGACTGTGTGACAGCAAGGTGACAGTACTGGGGGCTTTCCTGGCTGGTGCAAGGTTAGCACTTGGGGGTTGGTTTATGGCCATCATCGGTGGGTGCAAGAGCTGTGAAGGGCAATCCATGCCTACTGCAAGGAGTAGGAGCTTGGGCTCTGCCTTCGCTTTTCCCAGCTTAGACCTGATGATCTTTGGAGGTTCCTTCCAGCCTGTTCCTTCCAGGGTTGTTCTGTGATTCCCATCAAATCTGTTGCAAGGTGCTGCAGCTGTAATCTCTTGCAGTGTTATCTTCGATGGAGGCTGACCCAGGATTACCTCCTTGCCACAGACACGTGAGCGAGACTCGATCTGTCCCGCAGACGGAAGCTGTGAGAAGGCAGATAGGCCTGCAGCAGGTCAGGGGGAGGGTGCCTTGGCCCCACAGCCTCTTGTGATCATGTCATGGATTTCTGCACCTCCTTTTCTTTGCCGTGGTTGAAGGGATTGGAGGAGCAGAGGGGAAGATGACAGCTGGAAGACTGGAGTGAATCACTGGCTTCAGGACTGGAAAGGGTGTCTGGAGGCAGCAATGGGGGGGTGTTTCACCAGGATCATCTTGTCTGTGCTGCGGGAGTGTTGAAGTGCTCTCTCCTTACACTTAAACTAAGGGCCCAGTATACTAACTTTATTCCTTCTCTCTCTTCAGGAGATGAATTAAAATGCAGCACACCACGTGCACAGAGGACAGGATCTACCATGCACTGGAGAGATGTCTACATGGGCTTAGCAGAGATGCTGTCTCCAGCAGATGGGCTGGTAGGTGACCTGTTAACCACAAGCTTGTTCTTCTGTCATTGTATGGTCTGCTGACCTATCTGGGCACCTGGGTAAGAGAGCTGCTGGTGCTGCTGGAGGCTTGGTGCCTTTTCTCCCTTCCAGCCTTTAAAGTTAGAAGTGGGATCCAACCAAGTCCATCTTCCTGAACCTCTTGTTGCAGTAAGAAGATGTCCCAGGACACTGAACAAGTCATGTTAGGTCTTAAACAGGTAAAGCTCAGCAGAGAAGCCATGGGTCTTGCCAGTTGTCCATGCATGAGCTGGAGAGAGGAGTGGTCTTCCTTCACCATGAGGAGACACTTTTTTGTGTAATCAGCCAGCCTCGCCTTGCTTTCGTGTGTATGGTCCTCAAAACCTGAGGGCATAATCTCTGCTCATTGTCAGAGGCAAGTGTGGAGATACTGTTATCAGCTGTATTGAAACCTAGATCAGATACCATGGTCCATAAAGATGTGACCCATGTTCAGAGAGCTGCAAAGGGATCTGGGATGGCAGTGGTCAGGGCAGAGCAGCAATGAGAAGCAGTATTTTTTGAATGTAATTTTGACCTCTCTATGTCGTACTCACAGGCTGCAATTAAATCACTTCCAAATCCTCTTGCGGATGAAAGAAATTAAGTGAATTTTGGAAGCTGTCAAATCCAGATTTCCTTTTGCCTGTGCAGTTCTTCTTTCAACCCCCTCTGCTTTTCCATTTACTTACAAGTCAAGAAAGAGATGCAAATGGTGTTCTACCTGCTGCCAAATACTGGAGTAATCCTTCTCTCCATGCCAGCTTCCTACAACCACCAGAGCGATGCCAACTCCCTGTGCTGTAGTATCACCCTAGGTCTTGGTTCATGAAGCTCTAACCGTGACTCCTGGATCATAGAATCATAGAATGGTTTGGGTTGGAAGGGACCTTAAAGATCATCCAGTCCCAACCCCCCTGCCATCAGCAGGGGCACCTTCCACTAGACCAGGTTGCTCAAAGCCTCATCCAGCCTGACCTTCAACACTTCCAGGGAGGAGCAGCCACAGCTTCTCTGGGCAACCTGGGCCAGTGTCTGACCACCCTCACAGTGAAGAGCTTCTTCCTAATATCTCATCTAAACCTACTTTCTTTCAGTTTAAACCCATTTCCCCTTGTTTTGTCACTAACTGCCCTTATGAAAAGTCCCTCCCCAGCTTTCTTGTAGCCCCTTCAGGTACTGGGAGGTGCTATAAGGTCTCCCCGGAGCCTTCTCTTCTCCAGGCTGAACAGCCCCAACTCTCTCAGCCTGTCCTCACAGCAGAGCTGCTCCAGCCCTCGCATCATCCTGGTGACCTCCTCTGGACTTGTTCTAGCTGCTCCAGGTCTTTCTTGTGTTGGTGGCTCCAGAACTGGATGCAGTATTCCAGGTGGGGCCATACGAGAGCAGAGTAGAGGGGGAGGATCCCCTCCCTCGACCTGCTGCCCACGCTGCTCTGGGTGCAGCCCCAGATCCTTTTGGTCTCCTAACATTCTGGGAAAAGGGCCCTGAAGTGTGACCTACATTCCTGGTTCCTGGAAGCACGACCTCGTGTTTGGCACCGTGACAGTGTGTGTCCAGAGGAGCCCATCTTGCCAAGCAATTCACTGTGTGCCACAGAACTCACCTCTTCCTGTAATTATAATTAGTCAGTTCCTGTGTCACTGACAAACTCTGCCCTTCTCTAATCCCAGCCCCTCAGCCTTTATAAAATGACTTCAGAATTTTTCTGGCTCATTAGCAAAGACAAGACTGTACAGGGCAGGGGTCGGGTGGTGGTGGTGGCTCTGTTGGAAGCAGCTGTGCTGCCCAGTGATTCCTTATTTCTAATGATTTTCCCCCGTCTGTGCCTGCTGGCTTTCGGGCCTCTTCATGTGGGTTTTGTGGGACTTGGCAGCATGACCTGGCATTTTAGAATCTCAGACATTTTACACATCAGAGTTCCCTTTCATCAAAAGCATTTGTGCTGTTGCCAGAAATCTTCAGTGTGACTGGCGAGCCCCGTTCCCGCAGTCCTTGGTGGACGTGATGTTCAGAGCTCTGCGGTGCCCGTCCTGGGGCACCATTCCTGGGACAGCTGAGGGTGAATGTGTTCCCTTTGCAGAGCTGCTCTTTCACATCCTACACCTTGCAGTCGCAGTAGGAAATGTTTTGTTATTGCAGTAGCATATACAATTTAGGGAGAACGGAGCATAATGCACAGATACATCTACACCCTTTAACAGGGTGTCCTATTTCTTTTCAACAACTGAGCCGAAATGTTTTCACGTTCTTCTTCATTCCCCATGTCACAAGCAACAGTTTAATTATTGCTGCCCTGTGTCAGATCCAGGGTGTTATTAATGGCAGGGCTCTGTTCCTCATACAGTCAATGAATCCCCCCCATCTTGTTCTTAGCTGTGCAGTAGCCTTCTCCTTTCTTGTTTTTAACTTCTTATATCACTTCTATTTCCCAATTTATTTGCTTTCCCCCCCTTTTTACTATTTCCATACACCAAAATAACACTGACCACATTGCAGATTTTTGGGCTGGGACCTCGCTAGAATTTGTTCATTTTAAAATTATTTAATGCTTTATTTTTACATGATAATTTTACAGAAGGTTGCTTCAGAGTGGGTGAGTAATCGCTCCCACTGCATCGTTTGACCCCCCGCATAAGTGAGTGAATAGCTGAGGTCTGTGAAGTCAGCAAAGAGTAGTGAGAGTCCTTTGGCCATCACGGATTTATACCCTGGACAAGACTGTAGTTGGCTCTAGAAAATACAAAATCTTTCCTGAACTGAAGCATTTATTGGAGGAATGAAATGAATATTAAGTGTCTCTGACTCACAAAAAACCCTGTTGGAAAAGTTCTAGAAAAGATGGAGACCCATCCTGGGTCTTTGTGGAGACCCTCTTCAGAGGACAGCATGTTTGCCTTGCTCCATGTTGCTGGAGAGAGGATAGTCAAATCAGAGCATGCTAAAGGAATAAAAATATTCTGTTTCTTGCTGGTGAGCTGTGAAATGGGGAACATTTGGTGAGGTAGAGTGCTGGGCTTGGGTCTGGCTGCTGGCAGGACTGAGTTTGCTGTCCTGGGGAGTCAGAGGCATGAGAAGGGCTGGAGGATGGTGGTGGATGGAGAGCTGCTGGAGGGGCTGCAGGGCAGCCCAATGCCCAAAAGGTCGCAGGTATGGGAAGGAGCAGTTGTGTCTCTGCCATGGGGCTGCACACGAGCTGGAGAGGATGCAGGATGCTGGTGAGGGAGAGTGGATGAAGGAGGAGCATTCAATGATATGTCTTACATGGCTCCCAGGGGGTTTGTTCTGCTCAGCTCTGACGAAGAGAAGCTTAAGATCCTGCTCCGTGTCAGTCATCTAAACACCCTCATGGGGAATGACCACAAGTCTGGTTTTGGGATCCTCCAGCTTAGTCACCAAGTAGTGAAATGCAATGTCTGAAATACTTCCAGCTCTAAGTGCAGAAATAAGGGGCGCTGGTTTCTAAATCTTGCCAATTTTAACCTTTGAACCGATTTCTCCAGGCTTGTGGTGGGTTTTCTTGCTGAGATCCCTGCCCAGGCTGGGTGGAAGCACTTGGGGTGGCTTCAGCCCTGGGAGGTGCCACTGTGTCCGGCTCAGGGGGCTCTGAGCACCTGCTTGGAAATGGGAGGGACTGGTTGGACTCCTGGGCAGTGCAGGATGTGTCCCAGGGGGATGCTGTGACTGCGGGGCTTTTGCTGTCCCCTGTGCTTCGGGCAACGCCGCTGCTTACCAATACTGCGAGTCGGCCCTTCCTCTGGGCAGTCCCTGGGAGAAAACCACCTTATTCTGGTGTGGGTGTAGTGGAGATGGTGGGAGCAGATCTGGGGGAGGGAGGAAGCGAAGATGTCTGCTTTCCACCCCTCTGACTGTGTTGCTTCTGGTGGCACCGGGAGCCGATGCCCAGCCCGAGCACCACGGGCGAAGGCAGCGTGGGCACGCGGTTATTTCTGCTTTATTTCTGTTTTTTCCGACTTGGCAGTTGCCCCTTATGAAGAGCAGCAGAGGGGAAATGTCAACCACTGAGGTCAGGAAGGAGCTGCTCTGGGAGGAAGGTGTCGTGGTGCACTTCTTAGAAAAGAAATCGCAAAGCCTCATCCTTCCGAGGCCACCCACGGGGCCGCTGCCGCCTGGCTCCCGGCACGCTGCCGGCAACGCCGATAGCGATCAAAGCCAGAGCGTGCGCTGTGCCGAGCTCCCTTCTGCGCAGGGGTCCCGCTGCAGCCTCTGCCCAGCACCGGGCCCTGGCTCAGAGCCTTTGCTGTGGGTTTTGCTCCCCAAAAGGGAGATTTTTCTTTGGGTCTGTGTCGTGTTGGGCTCAGCTGAAGTGCTGTGTAGGATGCTGGGATAAGCACGGCTTAGAATCATAGAATGGTTAGGATTGGAGGGGACCTTAAAGATCATCTTAGTCCTGCTCTGCGTGTCGCAGCCCCGGCACCCCGTGGCCATGATGTGCTCTGGGCTCCTGTGTTTCTGGCAGATAAATCTGACTCCTTCTCCATGTATAAAGGAAAACCAAATAGCACTTGATTGCTGCTTTAGCGGATGAGCACGAGGGCAGGGGGGATTCAAACAGTTTTTACCTGTGGGTATTCCGGCTGCCCTGCTGGGAGGTCTCCGGTGCCTCTTAGGACAAATTCATAGAATTTAAGGGCTGGAAGGTAAAGTCCTGGTTTTTGCTGCCTGCACAAGGTTAATCTATAAAAGCTGATCTCAACAACTCCAGGGCTGGACCTCTCCCCGCAGCTCCTGTGTGGACCAATCTCCTTTAAGGTGTCGAGTGGTTTCTGTGTGTGACTTTACTTACTGCTTCCCTCAGCCGGGAGGCATCTGCCTCAACTCTGCAAACTCTGCCTTATTATGGGGTGAAGTGTTTCCCCAGCAACACAGAACTTTCCAGTGTTTGCACAACTTGACAGAGAGGTGGTAATGGGGAGCACAGCTCCTGCTTGAAGTGACGGCAGGGAACGTCCCCCTGCCCGGGGGACATCCCAGGGCATCCCTGAGCTCTGCACTCCACGCAAATCCAGGGCCTCCCTTGCATGTCATAGCAAGAAATGTTTTTTTGGGGATTAAAGAGCAAATGCAAAGTCCAGGAGAACGCCTGGTTCAAGCTTTCTCCATGCCCTTGATGTGCATCCTACTCTGGTCCACCCTGGAAAGGGTAAGGTGCTGGTCATGGTCTGGTGCTGCTGGTTTTGGGTTTACCTGGCACAGTGGAACGAACCCGAGTTGGACTTCATGCTCTGTGCTGCTCTGACTTGGTGTAAAACACCACTCCCGAGTTGTCCCTGTGATTTGTGGCCTGACACGACGTGGTGTCATCATTCACCATCGCACCAAACCAGCAGCAGATCATCTGCTCAGGTGCACTGGGGTGGAGGAGCAGCTGCAAATAAAACTTTCTGGACTTGGTTCTCACCTGGCTGCATCCTCTTCCTGCCCTGGGAATAAACCAAGTGCTGCTCTGCAGTTCATAAAAGTCCTCAGGTGCTGTCACAGCGCCCAGCTGCGTCCCGGGCAGACACAGGACATCTGCAGAGGGATGGAGAGGGCTTGTGCAGGCAGGTGCCTCCCTTCTGCTTTTAACATCACCTGGGGCTTTTGTCCCTGACCTGTGCTCATTGCATCACCCTCAGTGCCCAAATAACCTTTTTAGTTTGGATCCAGGGTATGTGGCTCCAGGGACTAATTTTGACCACAGTGGTTGGAAAGTGGATGCTCGTGACCTGGACCGTGGGCGGAGGGAAGGGAATTCCCACGCAGGTCTGGATCCCCTGTCCTGACTGATGCCTGGTGGTGCCGGACACTTCACTTTGCTGCATAGTCTTTGTTTATTGTGTCCAGGATTTCCGAGCAACATTTTGTGTTTGAGACTATTTTTAGCAAGGACGCAGCTGGTTTGGTGTGTCTTTGGTTAATGCTGCTTTGCCAAATTTAGGAGCTCAGACCCTGGCAGCCTGCTGCCTCCCAGCACTGTTTGACTTAATCCCAGGTAATCCCAGTGCCTTGCCATGACTGTGAGTTGAACAGAAATTCTGCTCATAGCGATGTTATTCAGATATACCCGGCTGCATCCTTGTGCTGCAGCTCACAGTTTTGTAGAAAACCCAAAAACAGGTCACAAGACCTCAGGTCTGAATTATATGTGTAAGATCCTTCCCCCAAGCCCTGCCTGTGTCCCTGTCCTACCTGCCTGTCCCCCCAACCCCTTCCCAGCGGGTTTCCCCAGCTCCTCCCAGGGAAAGCAGCCCCGCACCTCTCCCTCTGCCCATGCAGCGCAGAATAACGCAGCGAGCCGCTGCCGCCGCAGTTTCCTCCTCCCTCTCTAGAAGCAAGAGGAAGGAAAGAGCCTGCGTCGCTGGGCTATTTGTATTTGTGGTCACACTGGCGCAGGAAGCCGTGTTCTCCTCGTCTGGCAACGCAGCCACACGGAGCCCAGCTCCGCTGCTTTCGCGGATCCTGTCCCTCGTGGCCGGGCCTTCGCCCCGGGCAACCGCGACCGGCTCTCTTGGCTGAGATAATCCTCCTGGCCCAAGCAGGATGGGTTGTTTCAAGGCACCACATGAGCCCAACCGCTTCTTGCCGAGGTCAGCAAAGCTCCCGGCAGCTCTGACCACTTCTGCTGGGCCAGTTGCTTTCTTGATGTTCTCACAGGTGCTGGGGCTTTCCCCAGAGGATGCTGCGCTCTGGGACAATACTGATTTATGTGAACAATCTGCCCGAGTCCTCCTAGGCAGAGCCACAGCTTCATGCCATTGTGCTGGCTCATGACAGTGGCTCAGAGGAAAACTGAAGCATCTGAATTACCGGGTGGGTCGCTGCAGCTGTGTGTCCTGGTGAGCAAACGCCTGTCCATGGCAGGGACAAGTGAAGGCTTTTTGTGACCCGAGCTCCAGTTTTCCTTGACTTGGTCTTGGCCTTATCCCAGCTGGGCCATGGCAGATCTCTCTCCTGGTTTAAAATTGTCCTGTTTAACACTTCAAAGGTGTGTAAAAATATTTTTATGGCATTTATGTGTCTATACGTTTGATGACTTTGTAGCAGCTGGGAATAATGTGTGAGGGAGGGACAGTGTGACCTGTAGATTTGTGATGAATATTGCTGTCCCCTTGCCAGCTCACAGAGTTGTTTCTTCCTTGTTATCTCCAACGCAACAGCCAACACACATGGGTTGGTGTTTGTTATGTTTCCATGCCACTTAATAGACCATGTGAGTGAAGAGTGACTGGATTTATATTTATTTTTCCTCTCTGATCATTAGCCCCACTTCCCTGCAGCGAGAGATGCTCTTTCTTTTGGTTTTGTGTTTGGACTGAGCTTGGAAGAGCCCCAGTGCCAGAACCCCCTGAACCCATGGGCTGTGACCGAGCTGTGTGTGATGTCTGCACTGCGTCCGCTCTTGGTGAAAATATTCATGGCAGTGTGGAATGGGGGAGATGCAAACGTGGACTCTGCTCAGAAATTTGTTAGGCTGTTGGCTTGAAATTTCCTCGTAATTTTTCTCCATGGGGCTGTGTGCAGTGCCTGGGTCCCTGGAAGGGAGGAGGAGGAAGAGGAGGAGGAGGAGGTGCTGCTCCCTTCCTAGTCTGTGGGTCCAGATCCAGAGAGCGCTGGCTCTTCCCCTGGGGTGCAGGGCCAGGATGAATGGAGGCACCCGGCAGCCTTTGCACAGGTCGTTTCCTCTACAACCATCTGGGAGGTGGCCCTGGCTGCCAAGAAAAGCGGCAGCCTCGGGAAACACCTTGGGCCATTGTCACCAGTTGGATCCCAGCAGCCAGAGGCAGATGTCTGGGGATGGAGGCCAGGGGGGGTCTCAGTCAACCAGGGTGAAGGACCCTCCATCCCTTTGCATGGCAATTCTCCTCTCTCAGTATTTGGGTGATATCTTGGTGGGGTTTTAATACATTTAATAAAAATCTGGAAGTGCTAAGAGATGGAATAAGTGCTGGGCAGGCTACAGAACAATGCTGACATGAGCCCTGACTCTAGGGATGCTGATGTGATGCTGCATCTTCAGGACCTGGGGAAGCTGGTTGTGATGCAGCTGGAAGGCCTTGGATGCGTGCCTGATGGGGAGCTGAATTTTGCAGGGTTTGAGGGAATTTATGGTTGGGATGGTGCATCTGGGGTGTTGAGCCTGGGGGTGGCAGAGCAGGGAGCTGCATTAGTGGGTTTTCTGTGCTCAGACAGTGTGAAGGTTGTGGGCACCCACCCAAGCCACGCATGGCCCTCTGGTCTCTGTAGCAGGCACGTGGCAGCACAGGCAGGTCGGCTACCCAGCCTCCCTGGGGAGAGGTGTCCAGCCCAGCTGAGTGCGTTGGGCTGTGGGAGCAAGAGCACGAAGGCACTCGGGTACCAAGAGATGCTGCTGAGATAAGCACCATTTGGTGAGATTAGATCTGTCCAGAATGAGGGCGCAGGGGTTTTTCCTCTGCTGTCGTCTGACGCAGGTGTGAACACCTTCGCCCCGATCCCTTTCCATTGCTCATCCCTCCTGTGACCTCGAATGGGGCTGTGAGTGACGGTGGCTCTGTCTCCCTGCAGCTGGGCTGTGCCTGAACTGCTGGAGCCTGCAGGAGCTGGTGAGCCGAGATGCCGACAACTACCTCATCCTTGTAGAGAAGATCCTTGGCAAGGCCAAAGAGGTGAGTTGGGGGCTTTGAGATGGCATCAGCTCCAGGACTTGCTCAAAATGGAGTTTGCAGAGCTTGGCGGGTGATTTTGGGTTGTGGTGAGGTGTTACTGGAGCACTGGAGCTCGGGGTCGGGTGATGCTTAGTTGACAGGTCCAAAATGCTGGTGGGAGCAGCGCTGTGTGTCCTGCTGGCTTTCAGGGAGCTTGCAAGGGAAAATCCCAGCTCCAATACCCGCTGTCCAGGGAGTGCCACAGATCCATGGGGAAGGGTTTTGATTTCCCAGAACGCTGCTTGGCACCGTGCAGGGGCAACCCGGGTCATGGGGCTGTGCGGATGGAGCCAGCCTTCCCCAGACCTTCCCCGGCACAAGCTGCTAGTTCAAATCAGAGAAAATTGAAGGTTTCCTGTTGTTTTTGATGGAAACTTTGCCACAGCCCTGCTGGGCTTCCTGCAGAGCCTGGAGTGGAGCTGGGACACTGGGGACTGTGGGCAGGATTTGCACCGCGTAGCAGCCCAACAGGCGAGAGTCGGGTCAGGGACAGCGAGGAGGGAAAAGGCAGCGGGGCTGATGGCATCGGCCTGCCCTGGTCCCGTCATGTGCTGGAGGAGCTTGAGGCATCGCCAGTCAAGCAGGGTAGGCTCGAGCTGTGGCTGGGAAGACCTTGGAGGAATGCCTTGATGTGGCAGGAAATGGTGATGTGTTTCCTAAAGCCTCAGTGCTGGGATTCATGTGATGGGGTGAGATGATGCCTTTCACTTTTGGGGAAGGAAAGGCTGTTTAGCTGCCAGTTAAGATTAGAATGATTTGGTTCAATCCTCTTTGGGTTTTTTGGGTTTTTTTTTTAATGGCTGGAATTGATCTAGCTGCAGGTAACATTTTATTACATTAGGGTTTATGTAAGGGTTTATTGCATTTTGTGCTGCGCTCATGTATAAGGGGAGACAGTGTCTGCAAGCGTGTCCTTGAGCCGTCACTGTGTCCCTTGGTGAAATAATTCTACTGACCATTCACTGGCAAAGGCTGGGGCAAAAATGCGAGGTTTGCACCATGCTGCCAAGCTTTGCAAGCTGCTGGCAGGGGCTGGGCTGCCACGCTGCCCGCTTTGAGCCACTTCCCTAGAATTTCATGCAACTCTGCGAGGGTCAGGAGCATCAGAAAGTCTTGGGGTTGGCCAAATCTGATTTCTTGGGGGTAAAGGCAGAGCATCAGTGTGTGTGCTGATCCGCCTGTCCCACTGGTGTGGGGTACTGGGGCTTTAGGGGTTATTTTCCCATGAAGACAAGGGAATCTGCTGGGGACAGTGGTGAGATGGGGCGGGTTGGGCACTCGGCTGCACTGTCGGGAAATCTCCTGGCACCTCCAAGAGTGCTTTCGGGTAATGCTCGTGATGAGCAGCCCAGCTCATCCCTCTGCCCTTGGGCTGTTTCCTACAGGTGCAGGAGAAGTGTGACTACGATCTCGTAACGCCCCTGGCTCTGCTCTTCTACTATGCTGTCCTGTATGTAAGTCCTGAAGCTGCTTGCACGTAGCTTGATCCCAGCCCCCGGGGAGGCACATCCAGGGTCCGGGGCCCCGTGGAGCTGCACAGAACAGTCACCAAAATCAGGGTGGTTTTTGTCTGAAAGATCACAGTCTGCTTTGATCAGTTCATCTCCAAAAAAGATCCTGTATGAATCTGCAGGAATCAAGAGCAGGCAACTATTGTACAAGCTGAGAGAAAAAAAAAAAAAAAAGATCTGTAGTGTTTTTAATCTTTTTCTATAAAGATGGGCTAATCAGAAAGGGAGACGGACAGTATCTCTGTACAGAGAAGGCAAATTCTTTTCCTTACCCTTTATACTTGTACAAAACATACAGGCGACACTGATGAAAAGAAGGAGCCTTCACAGGAAATACTTTTTTAAAAATTATTATTATTAGCACAATGCATCATTATCCCAAGGAAATCACTGCTGCCACATCTTGCAGAAGCCCAGGCTGTGATGCAGTTCATCTTTATGGATCTGTGGTTGTTAAAAAGAAATTTATATCTGGGCTTTGGCACAGCCGGGAGGTTGGGAAGGTGCAGAGCAGATGAAGCTTTCTCAGAGCTGTGCCCAGTGGGGATCCTCTGACCCTTCTTTGGGAGAGGACAGGGTGTCATGGGGTGAACCTCTGCTCTGATCCTCCTCCTCCAGCATAAACCCTTGAGTTTTGATGCAGCGCTCAAGGCCCTTGTCCTTACCCCTTTCTAACCGGGTCTCCCTGTCTCCTGCAGGCTCCCCACTTCCCGCCGGGCTCGGACCTGCTCCTGAAGGCCACCAGTGTGTACCACAGCTTCCTGACCTGGCCCGTGCCCTACTGCGACATCTTCCGCGAGCTGCTCACCTTCATCAGTGATGAGCTCAGGGCCCCCGGTAAGCACTCCCACCCTCCCTGGGGTTTTGTGGGCTGCTGGTGCTGCTTCCCCAAAAACACCCACTGCCACGACTGCCCTGGGATTCCTCTGGAGACCCTCCTGCTGTTGCTGTCTCATACCCTGCTTGCTTCATGAGTGCCTTGAGTGCAGTGTCCACATTTACCTTCTGCATCCCAAACCTCAGCTTTCCCAGGAGGCGAGGATCTCTGCCCTTCATCCTCTGGGTGATTTTCCCTGGTGACCCCACACAGGGTGAGACCAGATTCCTCAGGAGGAGCAGGGCAGGGTTCTGTTTTCAGTGGCTGCCTCGCGTGCAAGGTCTTGGGAGCATCCCAGGGACTGTCAGCTCTGGACCAGGGTGAATTAACAAAACGTGTAGCTGTTTCCTGGCTGCCTTTCAATCTGATGGGTCTTTTCCATGGCAAAGCACACGCCGGCTGCTCCCACCCAGCCTTGGGCTTTGTTTGAGGTGTTCAGTTTGAGATGCTCTGTGCTGTAACTTGGGTGATAACAGTGGGTCCATTCATTGGCATCAGGGTGGCCGGAGCCTTTGAGCCTGCCCTTGCGTGGAGATTTCCATGGGGCTGAGAGACTCCCCAGCTCTTTCTTTACAGCCAAGACACTACCCTGTGATAAGCTTTGGGCACATCTATCAGCAGCACTCTTCTTAATTAAGGACTCCTCATAGATGTCCTGTTGTTCCCAGTGGGGCAGCTCTTCCAATTATTTCTAAAAGGCCCTTTCTCCTAATCTCCCTGTCTTTCGGTGGCTTATGGAGAGCTGTTATCGCACGGAGCAGGTTCCAGCCCTTGTTTAATCCTGCACAGGGTCATGGCAGTGAGACCGGCTCTGACAGGAACTTGGGAGGCTCAGATGGGTACATGGTCTGTGGCTGAGGCTGAGGATGCTTCCTCCTGTCCTCAGACCAGGCAGCTGCTTTGGAGAGCCCTGACTGGGATGTGAAGCGCAGGGTCTCCACCATGGCAGCAATGTCCCGTGGAGTTGGGAGCTCGTAGGTGCAGGCAGGATGAAAGATGATTTCAGAGAAACAAAAGCATTAAAAAAACCCCTCTGCAGCATTGGCACTGGACTGGCTGATTTACCCCAGCTCAAGGCTCTACCAGTATCAATGGCCATGGCCACCAGGCAAGGTCTGGCTGGGCTGTTGTGCTGCGTCCAGCCTCCAGCTTGGAGCTGCAGGGCCAGCACAGATGTGGGGACACTTGTCCCATGCTGCTGCAGCCGTGGGCTTCCCCAGCTCCCATCTGGTCATTTCTTGCTGTGACACCGATCAGGGCTGTGTTTTACAGACCACTGGGAAAGCCCCAGTGCTGGGGAGGGGGTTTGCTACATTCTGCTCTTGTGCCATCACCAGTGCCTGGGGCTACCTGGGCTGGGGACTTTGCTCCAGAAGCTTTTCCCCTCCTACAAGCACATGAGATTCCCCACCCCTGCCAAAAGATGCCGTGTGGGAGGTGTTGGCCTGCCAGGGCTGGGGAACCCAGTGCTGCCCCTCACTGTGGCCTCTCTCCACATCTGGAGCCAAGAATAGTGAAAACGTGTCTTCTGCTGGCAAGCTGGCCAGGGCCTTACACACTTGTTGCACAGACTCCGTGACCTGCTGTGAGGCTGAAGCAGAGGCTTTTCGTTGAGCTGAGGGTAAATACTAACTGAGAACAAATCGCTGTCAATATTTGCCAAGAATGCAACGGCTTCTATCTGCAAACTGGGGCTGCTGTAACTGGGGGCCTGTGTGGATCAATGTGAGCTGCCCATGGGTGCTGGGCACCCGTGGGTGCTGCTTCCTGGTTGCTGAGCAGCAGCTGGGGTTGGGATGTGGCAGTCTGCAGTAGTGAGGGTGCTGGATCTTGTTGATGCTGTAAGATCTTTCCCAAGATGAACCCCAGTCCTTCTGCCTTTTGGGAGTTACAAGGGGGTTGCTGTTGCCACCCAGTCCTGGTCTATCAGACATTGTCTGGCTGGGGTTCCCAGTGGCATCCTGGGGATGGTTCCAGGGACATGGGCTGCTCACACCAACCTTGCTTCTGCTGGGGCCAGGCTGGGCTCCATCTCTGTGGGAGAGAAGGTGGCTGTGACCTGCTGTCCATAAGTGAGATCCAGGGTCTGGGGCAGGGCTAAAGCAAATGGCAGAAGCTGCTAAGTATCACCCCTGCCATTCAAAATGGATCCCACATCAGCAGTGAGGCCGAAGGGACTGGAGATGAAGCAGCTCGCCCTTCTGATCCTCTGATTGCCTTCCCATCCCCTGGAGCTCTCACCCTTTCCATCCCAAGGCACCCTTGCTCTTGGGCTGCTCTCCTTGCATGGTGCTGTGTCCCTTCGGGTGCTGCCACGCCTGCTCCAGGCTGTGGCTCAGCCAGGTTAGGACCATGTTAGGGACAAAGTCAACATGTTCCTGAAGCAGAGCAGTCTGCAATGGTGCCATACCTGTTGTCCTCTGCTCTTCTTCCCCAGGGATCTCCTTCCAGAGGCTGGGGAGGACAGAG